AAAGAGAGAGATAGAGAGAAAGACATAGAATCTGAAGCAGGCTCTAGGCTCCAAGCTTCAGCACAGAGCCCAATGCGGGGCTCGAACTCACCAACCATGAGACCATGACCTGAGCCAAAGTCAGACACTTAACCGACTAAGCCACCCAGGTGCCCCTATTTTTGACTTTTTAAAATGCTTATTTATTTTTGAGAGAGAGAGTGTGAATGGGAGAGGGGCAGAGAGAGAGACTCACCCACACAGACAGAATCCGAAGCATGCTCCAAACTCTGAGCTGTCAGCACAGATCCCGACACGGGGCTCAAACCCACGAACCGTGAGATCATGACCTGAGCCGAAGTCAGATGCTTAACGGACGGAGCCACCCAGGCACCATCATCAAAGACAATTTTAAAAGGAACTAGTACAGTTAGCTACAACATATATGCGGCCCCATGTAAAATACACAGGAGATGTGGCACCTAGCCAGCCTCATCAGTTCCTTCAGATCCTTTATCACAGCTTGAAGGGCAGCCATGACATGTTTCTGTATCTCCCTGAGGCTACAAAGAAGGAGGTGACCCCCACCCTAAGTTCTTGATCTATCCCCACCAGACACGGCATGTTGTAATAAAAGACTGTAAGTGGTCAGTTCTTTCTGAATCACCCTCTGGAGAACACATTGGATGGGGACAAGCAGGGAAGAGGGATGGGGAAGCAAGAGTGGTCAGGGAGGTCTCACTAAGTTGACATTTAGCAGACTCATGGAGGTGACAGAGCAAGCCATGAGGATATTTGGGATCTGTGCCTTCATTTTTTTTCCTCTCAGTTTTTTATTGTGGTAAAACACACATAAAATTTACCATCTTAACCATTTTTAGGTGTACAGTTCAGTGGTACTAAGTATCTTCAGACTGTTGTGCAACCATCACCACTGCCCATCCCCATGATTCTTTTCATCTTGCAAAAACTGAAACTCTGTGCCCATTAAACAAGAACTCCCCATCCTCCCTTCCGCTCAGCTCCTGGCAACCACTGTGGTCCTTTCTGTCTCTATGAATCTGACTGCTTGAAGTACCTCATCTAAGCGGAATCACACAGTATTTGTCCTTTTGTGACTGGCTTATTTCACTCAGCATAATGTCCTCAAGATTCATCCATGCTGTAGCATGTGTCAGATGGCCCTTCCTTTTTAAAGATGAATGACATTTCATTGTATGGATGGACCACATTTTGCTTATCCATTCATTTAGATATAGACACTTGGATTGGTTCCATCTTTTGGCTCTTAGGAATAATGCCACTATGAATGCGGGTATACAAATATCCCTTCAAGACTCTGCTTTCAATTCTTTTGTGTACATAATGAGAAGTGGAATTGCTAGATCATATGGTGCTTCCTTTAAAAACATTTTTAATGTTTATTTACTTTTGGGAGAGGGAGAGAGAGAGAAAGAGAGAGAGAGAGAGAGAGAGAGAGCAGGGGAGGGGCAGAGAGAGAGGGAGACACAGAATCCGAATCAGGCTCCAGGCTCTGAGCTGTCACCACAGACCCAGACACAGGGCTTGAATTCATGAACCATGAGATCATGACCTTGGCCGAAGTTAGATGCTCAACTGACTGAGTCACCCAGGTGTACCCTCCTTTTAAAATTAAAAAAAAATTTTTTAATGTTTTATTTATTTCTGAGAGAGAGAGAGAGAGAGACAGCATGAGCAGGGGAGGGTCAGAGAGAGAGGGAGACACAGAATCTGAAGCAGGCTCCAGGCTCTGAGCTAGCTGTCAGCACAAAGCCTGACGTGAGGCTCGAACCCATGAACCATGAGATCATGACCTGGGCCGAAGTCAGATGCTTAACCAACTGAGCCACCCAGGCGCCCCTAAAATTTTTTAAGGAACCACTCTGGCTATACCATTTTACATGCTTACCAACAGTGCATGAGGATTCCAACTCTCCACATGCTCACAAACACTTATCATCTTCTGTAAGCTTTTCGATGGTATTCATCCTGTTAGGTGTGAGGTGGTCCGTGCCTTCATTTTAATTTTTTTTGTAGCAGCTTTATTGAAACATAATTCACATACCATACAATTCACCGATTTAAAGCACACGATTCAATGGTTTGCAGTATTGTCACAGATGTGTAGAATCATCACCACAATCAATTTAATACTTCCTCACCCCAAAACGAAACCCCATACCCTTTAGCTATTGCCCTCTATTCTTCCAGCCCTAGGCAACCCTTGATCTACTGTCTCTGCAGATTTGCCTATTATGGACATTTCATATAAATGAAATCACATAATATGAGGTCTCTTTGGTGTTTGGCTATTTGCACTTCGCATAATGCTTTCAAGGTTCGTCCATGTTGGGGCAGGCATTCATCTTTCAATACTTTTCAAGGTGTGGCCCTCATTTCTGTATTGGACTTCTTCTGAGCTTTTGGAGAGCATGCATTCCAGACCTCTCCCTCAGCCTACCAGTCCATGGACTGGCCGAAAGGAAGGCTGTGAGAACAGCAAGGCAGTATGATGTGGAAAGTTCTAAATTTCTTCCACTTATTGACTGTGTGACCAAAGGTGAGTTACTTAACCTCTGAGACAGTTTCCTCCCCCAAAAGATAGGGGTAATAATAGTTTGTATTAGTAAAATTTGTCATGAAGATGAATCAAAGATAACATATGTAAGGTGCCTGGCACATAGCAGGCATTCAATAAATTGAGCTTTCATGAAGACCATGGATCTTTGCAGATAGCCAAGGCTTGGCGGTTAAGGACATAGGCAACCCTACCCTGCAGGCCAGAACACCACACAGTAGGAGCAATTTCCCACTGCCCTCCCTTCGGTAGTGTCAACTTTCATTCAGAGTCACCCTGGGGGTAACAGACCCAAATATGGTGATAGGAAATGCCCTCAGTCTAGGGTATATGCCTCCCATTCTTCAAATACATGATCAAACAAAAATCTCCTTTAAACATCCCTGCTCTTTCCCTACAAACTCTCCTAAATGGCCAAATACCCAATCCACCCTTTCCTCTAACCCACCTTAGCATCTGAACCTCCTAATTACTCTGTGGCCCTCAGTTATCCCTCCCTCCCCTCCCCAACAAAAGCCCAGAATCTTCACCATCTTATTGTTTTTGCCTTCAGTCTTGAGACCAACCCCCAAGCCCAACAATCACCAGCGAGACAACAGCAAGTTTTCCAAGGTTTACCTTTGCTCTGCAATAGACCTCCTGCCCAAGGGGCAGGAGATTCTATGGCAGACACCTATGGGGAGTTCATGTTGAGAGAGATTTCCTGGTTTACTCCTTCCATTTTTCAAAGGAGAAAGCAAAGTCCATCTACCTGGTAAATTGCAGAAATGGGCCAGGAACTCAGATGCCCTAAATTTTAATCCAAATGAAATTGCATTAGTGAGAAGAGCCTCACAAAGGAAGACTTTGAATCCAAAGCCTGTTGCTATTGCTGGGACCTCGCAGCTAGTCCACAGTGTTAGGATTTTGCTGATGCAGTTACAACACATACTCTACTAAGAATAAACCCGTGTAATCACTTTCTCTGGCCTCTAGCCTGACATATCCTTGTAAATTTCTCCCGGGGGGTGCTAATCTGCAGCCAAAATTGAGAACCACTGCTATCAGTAAATTACTTGGAATAAAAATTATAGGGGTGCCTGCATGGTTCAGTCAGTTTAAGCGTTCGACTTCGGCTCAGGTCATGATCTCAAGGTTCATGAGGTAGAGACCCATGTTGGGCTCTGTGCTGACAGCTCAGAACATGCAACCTGCTTCAGATTCTGTCTCCCTCAATCTCTATCCCTCCCCCCACTCCCTCTCAAAAATAAATAAAAAGACATTAAAATTTTTTTATATATATTTATTGACTGTTTAAAATAAAACCAACCACTAGTTATTCACCTTGTGCCAGGGGTCTATTTAATAGCATACAATGGTATGTAATTTTACTTAATTCTCACAGGCACCCTCTGCAACAGGCCCTATCATGATGTCCCCATCATCACAGAGGAGCAAACTGTGCCTTGAAAGATAAGCAACTTGCCCATGACCTCATTGATAATAAGAGGCAGGACCCAGTTCTGTCAGACCCCAAAGCTAATATTCTTTTTTTTTTTTTAATGTCTATTTATTTATTTTGAAAGACAAAAGGAGAGCGAGTAGGGGAGGGGCAGAGAGAGAAGAGAGAGAGAGAGAGAGAGAGAGAATTTCAAGCAGGCTCTGTGCTCTCAGCTCAGAGTCTGATGCAGGGCTCAAACCCATGAACCATGAGATCATGACCTGAGCCAAAATCAAGAGCTGTACGCTCAACAACTGAGCCGTCGAGGTGCTCCCCTCCCCCACCAAAGCCAGTATTCTTAGTAACAACATGTATTAACTGCATATTACTCATCATTTATTGATCTCCTTACTATGAGCGAGACACTGTTCCAGTTAATTTAATCCTCCCCAAACCCTATGGGTTTTTTCTATATTAGTATTTCCACGTTATTGCTGTGCAAACTGAGTTAGAGAGAGAGAGTAAGCAACCTGGACAAGGTTATACAGTTGATAAATGGGAAACTTAATCCAATCTGGTTCTGAGAAATTTCCAGATTTATCTAAATCCTACAAAAGCATGCTGCATCCATATAACTACAAAGAAGATTACTGAACAAGCAGATGAAGGAATGAAGCTAAGGAGGTTAGAAGCATCCATTTACATAGATTTAAATTTGGGATCTTGAACTTGTGGAGCAGAGCACTTTAATTTTTTTTTTTTTTTTTTTTTTTTTTTAGAGATAGTGCAAGTTGGGAAGAGGGGCAGACATAGAGAAAAAGGAATCTCAAGCAGGCTCCACACTCAGTGCAGAGCCCAATGCAGACACTGATGCGGGGCTCCATCCCACAACCTGGGATTGTGACCTGAGCCAAAATCAAGAATCTGAAGCTCAATGGACTGAGCACCCAGGTGTCCCAGGGGGCAGAGCATTTCAAAAAAAGAAAACTATCTTTTACTTACTTTTTAATATCAGCAGAACAGTAGAGGATCTTTGAGCATTTCAAGAGAAGGCATGTCCTAGCTATGCAGACTTCTGCAAATTTTTAATGAAAAAATACGTATGAAAGTTGATGTCATCCAAACGTCTACACCCACGGGGGTGTCTTAAAAATAGAACCAATGAAAGTAATATCGAGGCATGAAGTTCCTAGATTTCTTTTAATTAAATTTTCATTTCTTTTGCAGGTTCAAATGGAGAAGGAATAAAGGTTTGAGGAGATATGAGAGAAAAAATTAAGATGTAAGTGACACTTTAGAGTTACTGATATATTTTTTCTTAAAGAGCCATGGTATTATCAAAGCAGTGACCTCATTTAGAATTACTCCCTAGGAAATAATCATTCTCATTTTACAAGCAGGGAAAATGAAACACCAAGATCACATCACCAATCAACAATTCCAAAGTGGGCTGGTGGCATTAAGTACAAATGGAAGCGACAATTTTGGATGACAACATGGCAATCATGGTCTAAATGTAATACATGCATGTCCTTTGAACCGGCAATTTCATTCCTATAGGACTATAAGTCCTATAGGACTTTATTCTATAGAAGTAATCCTGTGAGTAAGCAAGGATAAATCTGCAAAAATATCTATGGAAGCACTGTTTATAATACAGGCTGAATATCCATTTACAGGGATTGGTTTTAAAAAAAAGTATGGTACAGATTTATTATCATTTTTATGGACCCCAAAAAATACTGAGATAGATCTGTATATATTGGCATGTGTGATACTGTGATTTATAATAAGAAATATATATTTGCCTTCATCCACTTTTTTCTGGCACACAGCTCCTAAAAACCCTTGGAAATTCCCAAGTGAGGAGAATGATAAAGGTGTCATTTGTTATTTTAATAAAGTAATTTTTGGACCCAAGTTAGGATGGGGGCTGGTTGCCAGGGACAACCAACTACGTGATTAGAAAGTTAGGAACTTCCGGTACCCCTGCCCTGGACTCCAGGGAAGGGAGAGGGGCTGGGGGTTGAATCAGGCACCAATGGCCAATGATTAAATCAATTGTGCCTACGCAATGAAACCTCCATAAAAACCCAAAGGACAGGGTTCAGAGACTTCTAGATAGGGATACCAAAACAATTCCCTGTGCCACCTGGCCAGGCCCCAAGCCCCATGAGGACAGAAGCCTCTCTTGTTCGGGACCTCTCTCTCTCTCTTTTCTCTCTCCATCTGGATGCTGATTTGTATCCTTTAATATAACCTTTGTAATAAACCAGTGATTTGGTGAGCAGTTTCCTGAGTTCTGTGAGGTACACCAGCAAATTAATTGAACTCAAGGAGGGGGTTGTGGGAAGCACCAAACTGAAGCCGGTCAGTCAGAAAAGCAGGTAACAACCTGAACTTGGGATTGTCTGCAGTGGGGACAGTCCTGTGGGACCAAGCCCTTAACCTGTGGGATCTGATGCTACCTCTGAAGATAAGTGTCAGAACTGAGTTGAATTCTCCAACCTAGCTAGTGTCAGTGAATTATTTGATGATGTAGAAAAACCCCTCACCATGCAATGGAATTGGTATTAGAACTTCTACCATGAAAAGATGTCCATGATATATTGCCAAGTGAAAGAAAAAGCACGTTGCACTATAGCATTTTATGTTTCCATGTTTATAAATACGTATCTGTATATATTTATATGTAGATAGATGAAGAAAACCTATGGGTAGACACTCTCAATAGTAACTGCCTCTGGAAAATAAGTCACTGATTATTTTAACATATATCATTGTTAGGTGATTGATTATGTTCGTTAGTGACAAAGGGCTACAGCTAATGCCAGAACCCGCCTCCTGAGCCACAGTTCGTGTTCTCTGTACCCGGGTATCCTCTTTGGTGGCAAAGCCTTTCTCTGCTCCTCATCTATGGATGGGCAGGGTGTTTGGAAGGAGGGAGAAAAGAACATCTTCATCCTTATCCATTACCCCTGGCTTCCTAAAACATGCTGACAGATCCTGCAGCCTCTGGACAAAGGACTCAGCATCCCCTGTCTCCACACCTCCCCTATCCGGGGGTCTATGACTATTTTAATGTTAGTGGGCAGGGTGGGAGGCATGGCCAGCTGCTGCCCACTGTCCAACCTGGAGGTCTTGGTATCCTCTTGGGAAGCTTTGTGCTGGGCCAACATGCCCTATTGGGCACAAAGTTAAAGTACCTGGACAACATGGCATGAAATGAATGGCCTTAGGATCCCCGGCATCAGGCAGATCTAGGTTCAAATCCCTAGTAGGGCTCTACTGGCTGTGTGACCTTGTGTGAGTCATACTCCCCCAGCCCTGGTTTCCTCATCTGTACAATGGAGATGATGTCTTCTGTCTGACAGAGCAGGTGTGAGGACTTTGGCAACAAAAGGTGCTTAGCATGATGAGTGGCACGTAGTATATGCCCAATAAACTACAGCTACTTCTTAGTTTCAGACATCCTTCTCTGCTCTAACAACAAAGTTCCAGGGGGTATCCTAAGGTCACAAGCATGTGTTGTGGCCAACATGAGGTGCTTATTTTAAGACTATCTTTAAAATCCAATCCTAATATAGTTAAGATTTGTCATTACAATCTAAACTTAAAATACTACATTAAAAGTCAGAAAAAAGAACCACTTCTCTGGTCTACCCCTCAGGCTTTGTTTTTTTCCCCAGTGTCCTTTTTTTTTTTTTTTTTTTTTTTTGATGTTTATTTGTTTTTGAGAGAGAGAGTGGGGGAAGGGCAGAGAAAGAGAGGAATAGAGGATCCGGAGCAGTTTCTGCACTGACAGCAAGCAATGAGGGGCTCCAACTCACAAACCGCAAGATCGTGACCTGAGCCAAAGTCAGACACTCAAATGACTGAGCCACCCAAGCGCTCCTCTCAGTGTCCTCTTAATGAAAGAAAAACCTTAGTTCCAGGAGCAAGTGTGCTTCCAAGAACCTTCTTAATCTTAAAGACACAATAAACAATATAATGATCCTATTTCCTTCATTGTTGTGGCTTCTAGGAAGCTCAGAGCCATATTTCTATTTATTATAGGAACATTTTTGAGGTTATTATTTGCATTGCATAATGTATTAGGAAAGGGCCCAGTGTTTCCTGAACAACTAACTAGCTTGTCTTTTTTCTTATAGACACTGTGAACTATTTAACAGATTTTATTTCCCTCTTTGCTTTGTCTCTAAGAAATCTCTAGCAAGTATAGAACTTAGAGTATTTTGCTTACTGCATTTTACAGCTTAACTATTTCTTTCATTTTTCCCCAACCCAATTATCACATTTACCAAGAATATTATATCATACAAGTTTCTGTAAGCTACTGCAAACCGCTCTTGGAATGAGGTAGGGAATAAACAGGTAAGCAAAGAAAAGTAAATAACCTGTTTCTTTTGACAGGTTAACCTCCTCCATCCTTTTCTTTAAAATTTCAACAAGAAGTGATAAAGTCATTCAAAGAATACTTACATATATATAAAGAATATACACATACAAATATAATCTGATGTTTCATATATATATGTAAATATATATAAATACACACACACACAAAATGTAACCTGATATTATAGGAACTATTTCTATGGCTTCTTTCTTCCTACTCATACTAGACTTCCAAATAAAATATGACCATTCAATTACAAAGCACATTTGAAATCAATTACTGAGTATATGAAGCTAAAAATACGCTATTAATCGAGAAGGGATTTTTGACCACATCTCAAAAATGACTTAGGCATCTTGTTTGGAATTATATTGGCTGTAATTCTTGTCATAGACATTTAAAAATAATTCCTGCAACTGTCCCTGTGGATAGATACTCGAGGGTAACTTCACACCATTTCTGTCCTAGAAGAAAATCCTGTTTGGGAGGGCCTCTGACTCAGTGTAACATGAGATGAGCTATATATGACCACGACTCTACCCTGACAGCGGACACTATTCTCCCTCAGACCTCCTGTCTGCACCAAGGTTGTTCTAAGAAATGAACTTGGCAAAATTTATTCATACTATAAATACCAGAACACAATATGGATAATATGGCATGCACTCAAAAAATATATTACGTGTGTTTGTTGGATTTGTACATAGATCAGTTTGTGGGTTTTTTAGATAAAGTTGGAAAACCATTTTTATTTGCAATCATTCCATTTTTTTCTTTAATGCAAGTCTAAAGGAGAACTAGCATGTGTTTACCATAAATCGCTTCATCAGAGGTCTTTGGGGTCTAATGACAGTGTCACCTTGGCTGGGGGAATTTATTATCTGAACCTCCACACTACCCTAATTCATAAGGTTTAAAACAGGAAGTAACTCTGTAGTGCCTAAGTGTAAGAAATGATTCAGCTTGGGGCTCCTGGGTGGCTCAGTCGGTTAAACAGTGGACTTCAGCTCAGCTCATAATCTCACGGCTTGTGGTTTCGAGCCCCTTGTCGGGCTCTGTGCTCAGAGCCTGGAGCCTGCTTCAGATTCTGTATCTCCTTCTCTCTCTGCCCCTTCCTCACTTGCACTCTGTGTGTGTCTCTCTCTCTCAAAAAAATAAACATTAAAACAATTAAAACAAAAAACAGAGACGATCCAGCTCAGTGACACCTCAAGGGAACGAGGAATTCTGCTTCTCCTGGTGGGCGGGTTGTATTCTGCTCCTATTTAGGGGCTTCAGCCAGCACAAAGATCAGGAACCCAAAACCCAGGTCATGAGAAACAGGAAGATTCCTGAGGGAATGTGGCCTGACAGTAGAATCCAAGGGAGCATCTTAACTCTCTGTGTCTTTCCTTAGATAATGTGTTAGAACACTGAACAGAAAAAGGGAATGGCTGGGCCCCAGGCCTAGGCCCTCCTCTGGGTGTGTGACCTTGGGAGAGGTCTCTCAACCTTCTTGGGCCTCTACTAATTTACCTGTAAAATGAGGGCCAGAGCTCTGTCCACCCTGTATGTGCAGACTGCATGCTCTGTGGCAGGCTCTGTGCTAGGCTGGAGGCCTCATGAGTGAGACAAATACAGTCCCCTCTAGGGAACCCTATGGGACTTAGAGCTAGTTGAGGAAAGCAACAGAATTG